ATTTTGAATTTCGATATCTCAGCTCTGGAAGGGTCTAGAGCCTCCATTTTTGCACTCAGGTCAAAGTCTCGCGCCCTCTATCAGAATCCAGAGTTTTGAGAAGATTGGAGAAACTTAATTTTTCGCCCAAAAATGAAAAAAAACGAAAGGGGTAACACTGTCGTTTTTTTTTCGGGTCGAAATTTTGAATTTCGATATCTCAGCTCTGGAAGGGTCTAGAGCCTCCATTTTTGCACTCAGGTCAAAGTCTCACGGCCCTCTATCAGAATCCAGAGTTTTGAGAAGATTGGAGAAACTTAATTTTTCGCCCAAAAATGAAAAAAAACGAAAGGGGTAACACTGTCGTTTTTTTTTCGGGTCAAAATTTTGAATTTCGATATCTCAGCTCTGGAAGGGTCTAGAGCCTCCATTTTTGCACTCAGGTCAAAGTCTCACGGCCCTCGATCATAATCCAGAGTTTTGAGAAGATTGGTGAAACTTAATTTTTCGCCCAAAAATGAAAAAAAAAACGAAAGGGGTAACACTGTCGTTTTTTTTTCGGGTCAAAATTTTAAATTTCGATATCTCAGCTCTGGAAGGGTCTAGAGCCTCCATTTTTGCACTCAGGTCAAAGTCTCACGGCCCTCGATCATAATCCAGAGTTTTGAGAAGATTGGTGAAACTTAATTTTTCGCCCGAAAATGAAAAAAAACGAAAGGGGTAACACTGTAACGCCATCGACGGCGAGAACCTTCAGGCTTTGGATGGGTGCTTGGGAGCCCCGCGGGAGGAGGCGCTCTGCGGACACAGCTGCATCGCGACAGAGCGCTCCACCGGAGGGATCCCCGCATACCCACGGGCAGCCGCGCCATCGAGGGGAGGAAAGGCGGGGGAGGCTGTAGCGCGCTCTCGGGAGGTCAAAGGAGCCTTCCAAGTGCGCGTCAGCTCCACATGCAGCTCGGGAAAAAAGGGAATTGGGTTCGGCTGTGGCCTTGCGGCGGCAGCTTTCCCCAAAAACCAATTGTCCATCCGTGAGAGATCGGGGCAGGGCGGAGGGTTCCACTTCAACCCGATACTCACGGCGGCCCGAGATAGCATGGCCGTCATCTCGGGATCAGACACGGGCAACGCCGGCAACGCAGCCGTATCCTCACTTCCCGAGGATTCAAGCCCGCCCTGTGATGCCGCGATCGACATCGCGTCATCCTCTGGAGCGCCGAACGAAACAGACGGTACCTGCGAAGAGGCAGTTGCCTGAATCGAAGCAGCGCTCGCTGGCTCTGACACTGGGGCGGTGGGTGTGGCCCGAGGTTCTCTCGTCGGGTTCTTTTTGTTCCACACCGTCACCGTCAGATCACCCTGTCCGCGAGTCGAGGCGCTTCTCGAAGAAGAAGCGGATCGAGTAACGGACGCGGGGACTCTCACTTTAGTTAGATCATTGAGTCTCGATCGCAGTGTAGAGATGGTCATCTTCCCACAAAAGGAACATGAGTCATCCACGAACGCTGCTGCTTCATGCTGAATGCCAAGGCATACAGAGCAGCGATCGTGACCATCAGAGGATGACATGAATCGACCGCATCCAGAAGAACACAGGCGAGACATCTTTAAAAAGACGTGCCACGTATAGCTCTTTCACAAAGAGAGGAGGAAATTCACTCTTTCAGCGCCGAGGTGTCCAGGAAGAAGCGCACAGTCTGGCAGACCACTGCTCAGATCGCAGGCAATGCAGAATCTCGCTGGGTATCGCCGTCACGGCAACACTGAAGAGGAGCTCGTCTCGAAGAGTCTTGTCAGTGAGAATGGCTTAGGAGTGAAGAGGTCTCTTGGCTCCTCAGCGAAGACATACTGCGGTTGCGTTCACTTCCTCCTTTTATACTCACGGAGTAGGGCGGAGTACGCTATGCAAATTTCCGCAGCCCCAAGGCATTGCATGCCATTGGCTCGTGATTAAATACTCGAAGAGGATTGGCTTTCTATGCGAAATCCCCCAATCTCCGTCACTTCTGACGTAACGTCTCCGTTCCCTACTCAGGGAACGAGGGTTACATCCGTAACCGAGACGTTTTGAGAAGATAGGAGAAACTTAATTTCTCGCCCGAAAAAAACCCAGAAAGCGGCACCACTATCATTTTTTTTTTTCAGGTCGAAATTTTGAGTTTCGATATCTCAGCTCTGGAAGGGTCTAGAGTCTCCATTTTTGCACTCAGGTTTAAGTCTCATGGCCCTCTATCAGAATCCAGAGTTTTGAGAAGATTGTAGAAACGTATTTTTTCGGACCGAAAAAAACAAACAAAAAACGACAGGGGTACCACTGTACCACTGTTTTGAGTTTCTCTGATCTTCTTGAAACTCTGGATTCCGATAGAGGGCCAAGAGACTTAGACCTGAGTGCCAAAATGGAGGCTCCAGACCCTTCCAGAGCTGAGATATTGAGATTTTTATAACAGCATAAATGCTATGTGGGATCTCAATATCTCAGCTCTGGAAGGGTCTAGAGCCTCCATTTTGCACTCAGGTCAAAGTCTCACGGCCCTCTATCAGAATCCAGAGTTTTGAGAAGATTGCAGAAACTTAATTTTTCGCCCAAAAATAAAAAAAAAACGAAAGGGGTAACACTGTCGTTTTTTTTTTCGGGTCAAAATTTTAAATTTCGATATCTCAGCTCTGGAAGGGTCTAGAGCCTCCATTTTTGCACTCAGGTCAAAGTCTCACGGCCCTCGATCATAATCCAGAGTTTTGAGAAGATTGGTGAAACTTAATTTTTCGCCCAAAAATGAAAAAAAAAAACGAAAGGGGTAACACTGTCGTTTTTTTTTCGGGTCAAAATTTTAAATTTCGATATCTCAGCTCTGGAAGGGTCTAGAGCCTCCATTTTTGCACTCAGGTCAAAGTCTCACGGCCCTCGATCATAATCCAGAGTTTTGAGAAGATTGGTGAAACTTAATTTTTCGCCCGAAAATGAAAAAAAACGAAAGGGGTAACACTGTAACGCCATCGACGGCGAGAACCTTCAGGCTTTGGATGGGTGCTTGGGAGCCCCGCGGGAGGAGGCGCTCTGCGGACACAGCTGCATCGCGACAGAGCGCTCCACCGGAGGGATCCCCGCATACCCACGGGCAGCCGCGCCATCGAGGGGAGGAAAGGCGGGGGAGGCTGTAGCGCGCTCTCGGGAGGTCAAAGGAGCCTTCCAAGTGCGCGTCAGCTCCACATGCAGCTCGGGAAAAAAGGGAATTGGGTTCGGCTGTGGCCTTGCGGCGGCAGCTTTCCCCAAAAACCAATTGTCCATCCGTGAGAGATCGGGGCAGGGCGGAGGGTTCCACTTCAACCCGATACTCACGGCGGCCCGAGATAGCATGGCCGTCATCTCGGGATCAGACACGGGCAACGCCGGCAACGCAGCCGTATCCTCACTTCCCGAGGATTCAAGCCCGCCCTGTGATGCCGCGATCGACATCGCGTCATCCTCTGGAGCGCCGAACGAAACAGACGGTACCTGCGAAGAGGCAGTTGCCTGAATCGAAGCAGCGCTCGCTGGCTCTGACACTGGGGCGGTGGGTGTGGCCCGAGGTTCTCTCGTCGGGTTCTTTTTGTTCCACACCGTCACCGTCAGATCACCCTGTCCGCGAGTCGAGGCGCTTCTCGAAGAAGAAGCGGATCGAGTAACGGACGCGGGGACTCTCACTTTAGTTAGATCATTGAGTCTCGATCGCAGTGTAGAGATGGTCATCTTCCCACAAAAGGAACATGAGTCATCCACGAACGCTGCTGCTTCATGCTGAATGCCAAGGCATACAGAGCAGCGATCGTGACCATCAGAGGATGACATGAATCGACCGCATCCAGAAGAACACAGGCGAGACATCTTTAAAAAGACGTGCCACGTATAGCTCTTTCACAAAGAGAGGAGGAAATTCACTCTTTCAGCGCTGAGGTGTCCAGGAAGAAGCGCACAGTCTGGCAGACCACTGCTCAGATCGCAGGCAATGCAGAATCTCGCTGGGTATCGCCGTCACGGCAACACTGAAGAGGAGCTCGTCTCGAAGAGTCTTGTCAGTGAGAATGGCTTAGGAGTGAAGAGGTCTCTTGGCTCCTCAGCGAAGACATACTGCGGTTGCGTTCACTTCCTCCTTTTATACTCACGGAGTAGGGCGGAGTACGCTATGCAAATTTCCGCAGCCCCAAGGCATTGCATGCCATTGGCTCGTGATTAAATACTCGAAGAGGATTGGCTTTCTATGCGAAATCCCCCAATCTCCGTCACTTCTGACGTAACGTCTCCGTTCCCTACTCAGGGAACGAGGGTTACATCCGTAACCGAGACGTTTTGAGAAGATAGGAGAAACTTAATTTCTCGCCCGAAAAAAACCCAGAAAGCGGCACCACTATCATTTTTTTTTTTCAGGTCGAAATTTTGAGTTTCGATATCTCAGCTCTGGAAGGGTCTAGAGTCTCCATTTTTGCACTCAGGTTTAAGTCTCATGGCCCTCTATCAGAATCCAGAGTTTTGAGAAGATTGTAGAAACGTATTTTTTCGGACCGAAAAAAACAAACAAAAAACGACAGGGGTACCACTGTACCACTGTTTTGAGTTTCTCTGATCTTCTTGAAACTCTGGATTCCGATAGAGGGCCAAGAGACTTAGACCTGAGTGCCAAAATGGAGGCTCCAGACCCTTCCAGAGCTGAGATATTGAGATTTTTATAACAGCATAAATGCTATGTGGGATCTCAATATCTCAGCTCTGGAAGGGTCTAGAGACTCCATTTTTGCACTCAGGTCTAAGTCTCATGACCCTCTATCAGAATCCAGAGTTTTGAGAAGATTGGAGAAACTCAATATTTCAGCCCAAAAAATCTATAAGGGGATCCCCCGTCATCTTTTTTGGGTCGACTTTTTCAGGTCCAAATTTTGAGTGCAAAAATGGAGGCTCTAGTTCCTGAGCTCTGAATGGGTTAAAATAAACATGTATGTGCACTTTTATGATGCGGAGTATTGAGAAACAGAAACTTTCGAACAAAATTAGTTGACATTTTTTAATAACATGGCACAATTTACATAACACAACTTTAACTGAGGAGCATGCTGTCACCTCACCCTTTTTTGTACATGATCTAGAAAGGACTTCATTTTTTTACGTACATGATAAACAACAAAAAATGTCTTACAATCTCTTTGCAATACGTATTGACTACCCACTACTGCTTCAGTGGACATTTTATTGTTTGATTTAAGAAAACAAAAAAGTAGAGAAAAAAAGCACTGCACAACATCTGAATTTCACAGAGTTTAAAAGCGCACAACTATCCCTCCTCCCATGGACTACTAAAATAGATCTCTGCTCATTAAAAACAAACTTTCATAGCTTACAACTCACTTTATCATTGTGTAGATACATAATATTTTCAAACACAGTTCGACCAATAGGGAATTGTCCTGCTTTCTGTACTCAAAACATCTTGTGACATGAAGGGGATTGTCAACACAGATTTGTAGTATTAATTACTTGTCTTTCTATCTTGTCGAACAAAACATTGTTTTTGGATCAAGAGTTATGCTTGTCAGATGGGTTTCAGTGTGAGGAATACTCAATGCTGAAAATCCCCATCTAGGAACAATCTTGTAAGTTAAGCATGTACTGTTGCTTTGAAAGGAGAGTGTGAGAAAATGTGATACAGAGAGAGCCCACATTGCATGAGTTGCATAGTTGAACGAAGGGATGTGGTCTCTTGGACAATATGATGATCCTTCAAAATCATAATTATGCAGCATTAAACTAAAACCAGAAGCTGTGCACTCAGTGCTCTCCTTTTGATCACTGCCCAGTATATATACAGCATTTCAAAGTAAAGCTTTCATAACACCCATTTGCATATTTGTACCTTACATTTTTTCCCCCAAGGGGAGAAAACACAGACTTTGCACATATCTACATAGTTTTGTCCATGTGTTGAGGTGCCTGTACATTCCAAAATCATCTTTTCAATGATGGACATCTAACATTTGTCCACTTGCCAACGCAGGAGCGAACAGAATAAAAGAGCATGAAAAAAATCTCAGTCTTTTGTACAAAAACAAAAACGCAACACACAAACATCAGTAATAGACAGTCTACACACCGATATGATAGAGCCTCAAGTGCTTGCTTTTGAGTTCCATTATAGTCCCATATCAGGGGGTCTCACCGTGCCTCGATGTCTTTGTGTGTGTGTGAAGGGGGTCTGTCTCTAATGTCAGTGCCGAGTGGGGTAGTCCGTCTGGGAGACGTGGAACGTGCTCCGAGCGTTGGGATAAGAGGGGGTGGGGCACTGAGTGATGCGGTGGGGCCGGGTTTGTTGAGCATTCCGTTCTGGGCGGCAGCCACAGCAGAAGAGGGGCTAACACGGGGGTAGTGCATGCTGGGAAGTCCGGGGGCCATGAGACCAGGGTGAGGGAGATGTCCATCTAAAGCGGGGTGATGCATGGGGTGCAGACGGCCATGCTCGTAGTCCTCTCGCAGCATGTGCAGACGTTCCCTCTCTTCTAGGTGTGCCCGCTCTTGCTCCCGCCTCTGTTCCAAGGTTAGTCCGTGAGGGTGGTCTCGGTTAAAGTCATGAGGCTCACGGTCTCGGTACGAGCGCTCTGCGTCATACAGCCGCGGCGGGGCTGCTAACCGGTGCAGAGGGTCGTTCCGTAGTAGCAGATCCCGAGCTAATGGATCCCTCCGGTGGATGTCGAGTCCCCGGTAAGGGTCCCTCATGGGATCCCAATGAAAGGCGGGATAGGGAAACCGCTCCGCTCCTGGGATGGGACTGATACCCATAAAGGGGGCCACCATACGAGTCCTCTCCAGACTACTGATACTGTTTATGGGATGCATGCTGGCCATGCCCATGGGTACCGGCATGGAAGATGGAGGGTGGAGAGCAGCGGGAGGAGGAGGCGGTGCTTGTGGCGTGGATCTTTGCTCTGGTGTTCTTTCCGTAGGACCGTCCTGTTCCTCTTTCCTCTCCTCTTTCACCTTCACCTCACTGCTTTTCTTCTCATAGGTGATCTCAGCCTTCTTCTCCAGAGCATCACGAGTCAGCCCGCCGTTCACCCGATCTATGCCGCCTGGCCGCATGTAGGGTGATGCTGTAACCCGATTGGCTGGCTTGTCTTCAGAAACTCTGCTATCGTGGATGACGGAAACGTCCTTGTCATTGTGGTGATTCTCTTTCCCCTTGTGATCATCTGCATTGGAGTCTTTCCAGTCTGAGTGCTCTCGTTCTCTCTCGCGATCTTTGGGTTTGTCCTTGTCCCGAGGCTCGCTGGAAGAGATGTGGTTCCGGGAGGGCTCCGATGGCCGAGTGTGACCCAACAGAGTGAGAGGGTTAACGGGAATCGGGGATTGGTGATTCTGGTGCCGCTTCTCAGCAGGTTCCCTAGAGGTGAAACGGACCATTATTGTTTGGATAATAAGCAGTCTGCTGTTCATTAATGTACAATACAACTTCAAAAGAAATAAATGTCAAGTAAAAATAGTCCTCTATTATTCCATCAAGTTTAAGGTACACTTCAACATTAGGCTGTTTGCCCAGTTTTGCTATAATTTAGAAAGGCTATGTCAATAGGTTACTTGTCTTTTACTTTGTGTTAATTTAATTAGTCAACTAATTAACTGAAACATAAGAGCAATAAATTAAACCAAATGATCATAAAATTAAAACATTTTCAGGGCTTGCAGTTGCATTTGTGATTAAGCATGCCAAAATGCCTACCACGACAAAAAAAAACCAGTCGCACTGAAGTCACGGGACATTGTGTAAAACAGCAGTCCCCAGTAGTCGATTGTCGAGTTTGTGTGCCCGATCCTTAGTCATCTAGTTACCAATGATCGCGCATGTGAACTCGACAATTTACTATTGTGGACTTCGACCGAAAACAGAAAGAAAATGAAGTCGGACAAAAACTACGATAAAACCTGTTGGAAAGCATCTTTTGCAGCGATTTTTGTGTGAGCATATCAGTGAACACCCCAGACCACTCGGTGAGTTTCACGTCTTTGTAAACTAAAGTTTTATGCGTTTTTTTATGAATGATTGTTCGAGTGCACCTATGCTTTCATTATAAAGGTGGGGGGGGTGCTAACACAGAATCCAAAAATTCTCGTGACAGGAGCATTTGTCTAAAAAACAATCTTAACCATTCTATTTCATCAGGGACGATCTTAAAACAGGGCTTTAATTGTAAAATACCGAACTTGTCCTTTAAGGTCATATCTGACTTGAAAAAGTTCACTTCCAGGATTAAGTTGTGGCTAAAGGCAAACCAAAACTGTAACCATTTTTAACTATTGTTCTTTTTCTGGTTGTGTGTGTGTATTTGAAGAAATGTAAATGTTTTATATTTGTTTTGTATCTATTTATAATGTACTTAGAAATGCCCAACCAGGGACAGGAGTTGTAATTTAGCATTAGCTACAAACTCTATATGCTGCGCATCAGTTACAGGCTTTGTATTGTGACTATGTTTGACTGTATGGTCCCTGTTAAATAAATGAATAAATGAATAAATAAATAAAAATACATAAGAAGTAAAAGCAAACAATTATAGATAATCACGACACGCAGTGCAGAGCGCGTCTTATAAATATAAACTCAAGTATATCCTACTCCACAGACCTGAAACGTATATCTATACTGAAATGTCAACTTGTAAACAGAACAATTAAAAACGAAACTAAACCAAAAAGATTGATTCAGTCTTCTCATACCTCAATAGCGTCATTGAAAGCACCCAATTTATTTTCACTGATTGTGAGATAGGCCTATTTAAACTTTTGATTTATAAAATGTTCTGCTATAAAAGTTTAGATTATATTTAACGCAATATTCTATTTAAAATGTAGGCTACTTTTATATAATTATGATTTTCTTTTGCTAAATGTCCCTTTGCGCCACCTGGTGGTCATTTCGCGACCGACTTTGAAATACAGCTGGTTTATTTTTGCCGCAGTGGTAAGTGTCATTCTGGTTGATCACCTACTGTATGTATTATTATTACATATTAATATCATTCACACAGCTCTACACACCGTTCTTTATCATCCTTGTTGACTGATGAATCCCTCTTGTCCAGGTCACGTTCTCTTTCTCTTTCCCTGTCCCTTTCTCGTTCTCTCTCGTGTGAGCTGACTGATGATGCACTGCGTTCTGAGTCTCCTGGTTTGAGCCAGGGAGGTGGGGTGGGGAAGGAAGGCGGCGTGCGGTGGAGTCTGTTCCATGGCTCGTGGGGTCCGCTGAAGTGCTGTTGTGCACTGGGTGCATCTTTGTGACCAAATACAGAGTTGGGTGCTGGGAGATGGAAAAATAACATGGTGAATTTTAATTTATTTTCATCTCTATTTCATGCAAATAGTAATCTTTGAAATCAGATAATTACTGTTGTAATGACCTTTTAAGCTACAATTAGTTGTCTTAAGTAAGGGATAATGTACAACCAGGACAGGGTGATCAGGAAGGGGTTTGCTCTGCGATAACAAACGAATGGATGTACACAATCCCGATTATTACATGGCTACTTGCCACACAAGTAAACAATTGGATATAAAATATTGATCCGAGTCTACATATTTTAATAGCTCTTTAAACGCGAACGAAAAGTTTCCACAGAGAAATCAGTTACAAGCAAGCGGCAAGTTCAAACTAGATAGACATTTAAGAGATACAGTGCAGTCATACCACTTGTTATTACACGCTATTTCACCACATAAATAAATATGGAGACAAGATATTGATTTGAGATGAAGTGGTTTTTACCCTACAACCGCCACAGGATAAAATTTACCCATGGCTGTTTTTCAAATGTGGATTTTCAATAAAATATCCAAGTCTCCCAGTCATTAACTTTTAATAAAATTGCTTAAACAATTTTTAACAACAGGGGATTGTAAACGATAAAACCAGATTAAAAACAGGGCATTTATACCTAAAACCACCAGCATGTCAAATTTACCTACAATGCCTTTATTTTCACATTGTGTTTGAGCAACATGTTACACAACACATGTTCAAATGAAGAAGTTTTAGCTTACTCTCTTAAATGTTCAAACTTTGGAATATTTAAAAAATTTTGTTCTGCAATTTTTATCGTGTATTGTTCGCTACTGTTTTGAAGTATGCCCATTTCCTAAAAAAAATAAAAAAAATTCATACACTGTTCAATTTGTTGGCCAGAGGAGAACTGGCCCTCTGACTGAGCCTGGGTTCTCCCAAAGTTTTTTTTTTTCTCCATTCTGTCCCTGATGGAGCTTTGGTTCCTTGCCACTGTTGCCTTGGCTTTTGCCTTGCTTAGTTGGGGACATTTAATATTCAACAATATTATTGATCTGCCTTAAAGTGGACGTTGACGCAATTTTCTTCTAGAAACAAACTTTGTTGTATTATTTTCGTGTTATCACTCTGAAGCTGCGTTGATACAACATGTATTATAAAAAGCGCTATATAAATAAAGGTGACTTGACTGGAAATGAATACTTTTTTTAATGATTACCCAAAGTTTACTAAACATATTAATAATTATTATTGCTAATTTTTGTCTAGGGTATTTCAGTCATTTAAATAAGATGCGTTATCTTAATAAGTGATTAATAACATTTTATCATATTATTATACCACCCAAATATGTATTGATTTCCCTCTAATTCTTGTTGTCACTGCAGGCTGGTTGAGCCTATATTCACTAAATATAAGAAAAGTGATTAGTGTACACTGCTTAAAATAGCCTTAAACATAAAACAACAGGACAAAAAGAAAATTGATGACTGCAAATTGATGACTGAAAAAAACTAATTTCATGTCTTTACACATTACTTTGCGAAGACAATGGCTTAATACAATCACATAATACATTTTTTAGCCATTTAAAAACAGAAGTCATGTGCATGGGTACATTTTACCCGCTGATGGTTTCAGGTATACAACGACCCCTGGCGGTTCTAGCGTTAAAATCGTACCTGTTGGTTATCTTACAATATAAACCATTACAGTGAACAAAACAATCTTTGCAAAACAGCAGCAGCTGCATTTGGATGACACAAGAGAGAGTGAGTCTGCGATTCCAGATGACAATTAAATAATCGTATCCAAATTATGGATTTGACTTTTAATATTTAATTAGCTCTCCAAACGCATAACTTCCATGAGGAAAAACTGTTCCTAACGAGCGTAAAACACTGACTCTTCAGTTACCCGGATGAGCCTGTGTTATCAGTTTTTTTTTTCCAGTTGTTATGGGGATAACATACCACTGGATGGAGCGATTGACCAATCAGAATCAAGTATTCCACAGAGCCGTGTAATAATGAGATTTATCTGAACGATAAAAAGTTGACTGAATGAGAAATTTCTAATAAACAATAATTTGACTAATTGACACTCACTGAGTGCTGGGTTTCCCAGCCCACCAAAAGCTGCAGTGCTTAATGAGGCCAGACCTCCAAATGAAGGCGGTCTGCTGAAGGGCTCTGACAATCAAAACAGGAATAAAGAATCAGTCAGTGAACAAACGATTGTGTGATTTCTCAATGAACTAAAGCTTGCTTCATTATAGAATGTTAACTTTTCACAATGAACCAGCTTTTAACCGAGTCTTTAGTTCACAAATGAACAGATATATCAACATGTTTTAGCACTATGCACTGACTTTCAAAGAAGTGTTCAGTAACCCTTAGTCCAGGGTTGTCCAATCCTGTCGAGTTTAGCTCCAATCCTAATAAAACACACCTGAACCAATTTATCAAGGTCTTCAGGATAATTAGAAGCTTTCAGTCAAGTGTTGAGGCATGTTGGAGCTAAACTCTGCAGGATGTTGGCCCTCTAGGAGCAGGACTGGACACCCCTGCCTTAGAATATCCACATTTCAGTAATTGACTGCACAGTGACACCTAGTGGAGGAGTGTGAACGTGCAAGTGTAATCTATCTTGTTAGCTTACCTAAGTGGGGTGCTGGGGTAAGAAAGTTGCTAGGATGATGTGGATGGTGTCCGAAAGGTGCAGCTGAGGGATGTGTGGACCCTGAAATAAAGACAGACAACAGTGAAATTTATTCCACTCTTATAGAAAGGCTAATGGTGTAGGCTACATATACATACAGGCAAAAATGTCTTTAATGATGCATCCTGACAGGAGTGAAAATACAGTATGTAACACAACGCAAGCGACATAATAAAATTAGAATGTTCACATCAACAAAGCTGCTCTCAACAAAGCATAAATTGCTTTAATTATAATGAAGGATTGTACTTTTGTTACTTCACTCGCTTGCAGTACAGTTGGATACTGCATGTAATGAGTACTAAGAAATGGGGACTAAAACAATGATAAATCTTTTAAGAATAAAATATTACCTAAGATTAGTGGTTACTCTCAGAAAAATACTGGAAGCACTGCAGATTTGGAAAATCCACTCACCTGCTGCTGAGAAAAGCGATGCAGGTCGTGCCAAGTCATGAGGGTGATGGATGGCTCCAAACAGGGTGGGGCCTGAGGGCCGACACAGGAACTCCGGTTTGAGGCCAAAGTCCAGCTTGTGTGGGTCAACCTGCATCTGCTGCTGGAGAAAGCCAGGTACAAGAGAGAACAGATGTGATACCCCTCTCAGAGTACCTCAAAAATAAAGATTATATTGTATTATGTTGTTTAGAGTTAACAGGAGGAGAAAGAAGAGAGACAAAGAATATTTCTTTCCATATGTAGTGATTGGAGGGTAAAAGTGAAATCAGGTTATGTATGCAAATCTCACCTTTACTTTCTGTTGGTGGTGGTAAATTTGCCAGGCTATATGGACATGCATAGCACACCACTTTCCTGGTTTCTTTGGAGACAGAAAGACAAGGCAAGGTTTTCATGTTTAGACATGACTAAATTCATGTTAGTTTCATTTTATTAATCTAAACCTTTTAAGCACTTTTATAACAGAAAATTGTGCACATCTGACAAGATAATCTACAATTTTATGTAAGACATTTTTAAAGGGACGCTATGCAGGAATTCCATTTTTATCAAACAGCGACCCCTAGAGTTGCTGTGGAGTACTTGTATTACTCACGCAGAGCATGACGTGTTTTCATTGTATACAATATAACAGTATAACAGTACAGTAAATTGCGTTTAATTTTTCGTTTAATGATATCTAATATATGTTGTTAGTGGTGAGTTTTATGTGATTTATGTGTTTTATGTAATTTTCATGTGATTAAATACATAGATCCGACTATTCTCCCCATGTACTTTAATGGTCCAGTGACAGAACTTTTGACAGAACCATTCAACACGAAACAAGCCATTTAACCATTTGAATAACTCCGAAGCTGTTCAGTTAAACTAAAAAAAAAAACTGCATAGTGTCCCTTTCAAGCAAAATTTAACTTTGCTTATTCCCATATTTTGGGCCTGGCTGCAAATTAATTAAGCAAAATGTCATTACAAAGTGTTTTCAGATAAGGGAGTCATATAGTGTCTCCTATAGACTCTGAAATGAGACCGTTGAGTCCCAGCACACAGCTAATTAAAGAGACTGTGGAGCGGAAGGCAGGTGCCAAGTGTAAGGTGGGATTAAACTGTAATGAGCTTTTACTCTATTTCCTTCATAGTCCTGTGGGGAAACAAACTGAATAACTGATAAAGCAGTCTTACCCTGAGAACTGGCCGGAACGGATCTGTCAGCTTGAGAGGAAAGGAAAAAAGAGATTAGGGACACAAAGCTGTCAGTCAGGGCTTTTAATTAGCATCTGAGCATCACTTCATCACTGACCAAATTAAAATGTTAAAATTTCCCTTTCTAATGAAGCATTTCGTGGAATAATTAGGCCAGAATTTAGAGTATTCCCTTTCCTATCACTGCCAGCATACCAATGTGGACAACAGTTTATCATGACTGACAAAAATGATAGCTAGTTTGCCAGCATTAGTTTAAAAACCACAGTCAATACAGTTTGTTCGTTTTAAACTGTGTCTTTGGGGTGCTTACCCGAGGGTCTTTGTGAATAAGTGTGTGTGGGACGGCTCCGGGCCTGGCTGCCACGTCTAAAGGATTTGAGGTCTATTGTGTACAAAGACAAAAAGTATGTATTCTCAGCTTATCACAAGATACCTACATCTTCCAGTATCATCTCTCACTTACTTTCAGCATTACTGTTAGTTAACTGGGGACATCACCAGACTGTACACGTTAAAAAGAACATGTGAAATTGATTCTCTATTTATACTATACCTATACATAAAATTAAAGAAGTAACAGACTGTCTGAGATCTGTTTATGTTTAGCCAGACCCATTCCATGTGTGCAGGAGTACACTCAGAAGAGCACAGGAGGTTAGTTTTGGGAGTTGTCTTGACATTCCGACATTTAGCATTTGATATTGTGATACCTTGGGCTGGAACGCTCCCTGCAGAGATCCGAAGGGCCCCGTTGGCGGGATGACGGGAGGAATGCCAGACACCGCTGGGGGGTAAGAGTGGAACAGCTGAGAAAAGAAAAAAAGATATAAGCCGCACTTACTCCAAGAGGTTCTTGTTTGATCATGTCAGCTGTTTACAGTTATACAGTGAGACCAGAGCCTGCAGGTCATTGTACAAACGAACAACTACACAAGATCAGCTGCTGACATTTAAATGGCCCTCCTTCATAACATACTACATCATTTAAAGCGTCGTAACGTGAAAATACGCACCATGTGAAAATAATTCACAACAATGTTTAGCTTAGTTTTTCTTTATAAATTAATAAATGAAAGAAAGTGACTACAAAGCACCTATTCTGCTCCATGAAATGATACAACCTTCATCTGACCCTAGGCTGTTGTGACATTCAACAAAGATTAACCGCAAGATGAATTTACAATACGGGTCACTCTCTAAACCTGCTTTGAAAGCAATGACTGTTATTATCACAACGCACTGCATAATGCATGTAATTACTGCAGAGTGTGTGTGTTCTTGGGTCGGTGTCACAAATGAATCATTGCTATATAGCAACTCCGTAATTGAAGGGCAGAGATCAAATAAATTAAAGTTGCATTAACCTGTTGGACAGACAGGCAGAATGAAACACATTTTATCTCTAACCTGATTCCTGCAGTATCCAGCAAGGCATTTCAGTAAAAACACATCTTGTAGCCAATCTACTTAATAAAAATGTATAATGAAAATTTGTGCCCTTAATATATTTAGAATGTAGAAAATGTTTTTAATAAAATTGTAATAAGAAACTTGTTGAGAGGTCAATTGTAAATATAGCTATGGCTGTGTGTGGTACCTAAAAAAATGCCCCAAGCATAGCCCCAATTGCTTAACACCCATAATATAAAGTACGATGAAATTAAATGGAGCACAAAAAAAAAAAAGAAAATGACAATGACACCACAGCATATTACATAAATATGACAAGGACTCACGCTGTGTCTGTAGAAGGGGTCGACTTTAGTGGGGTATTTGTCGAACTGCAGAGGAAAGGAAAAACAGAGCTCAGTACACACAGAAGTCCTTTAGGCCTATAAACAATTTACTCCTGACAAATATCTTATGGAGTCATGAGGGTCAAAACAAATACCAAATGCTTTAATGTTCTCTCCAGAAAAGTGTGCTTAGTTGCCAGTAAAATGGTCTCTGCCCTGATTAATGAATTTAAGCACAGATCAGAAATGTAGCCCTGCATTATTCCTGCTGGGATTTCTCTTGTTAATTTGTAAACTCAGCAATTCTGTGAGTGGTCAAGTAGAATGTCTAAAAATAGTCCAATAAACAGCTCATTTAATGAGGTTAGAGTGGTCTAATCTGGATCCAGAGAGAATGTTTCCCACTCATGAGTAAACAATGCGGCTCTCAAACTGGTTTTATACCCTCATTAGCTAAAAGAGCGCCATTCTCAGAGGCTTTTGAGCCTGGCATGGTTCAAAAGCCACTTTTAAGCCTCTGTGGGCACTGTAGTTATGATAGAGCTGTGTGTGGGAGTGTCTGTATGAAGCCTCAAATCACTAATCAGCACTGCTGCGAGCCAACCAAAAGCCCTCAGTCAAAACTCCACCAGACCAAAATGATGTCATTAAACTGGGAATGAATAAACTAGTATTAAGTTCTCAAGGCTTGGCTGGAACAAAAATGTATTGCCAGTGGCTCTGACTGCCAATTCTAAAATCAGGGTAGAGAACAGAGGGTGGAGAAACATGCCAGAGAAAAACAGCAGTTTTTCAACATAGAAAAGCCACATTGTGGCAAGAGAGAAAAGTTATGATTGAGAAAGCGATCCACTGCCATGGCTTTCAGTGTTTCCTGAAGACTGTACTGTATAAGTTTATAATTCAGCAGTTGGTACAACACATACACATGCACAATTTTAGTAGCTACCTACAGTGTTCCCACAGTTTTTGACAAATTTCAATGATTTCTGATGATTCAAGGATTTTTACAAATCATTTTGATGCATTTGATCTTGACAGATTCGCAAACAAATGCATTATATGTGATCAGGTTTGATGATTCATTGAGAGGACTCACAACAGAAATTTCCATGACCATGGGAACCCTGTATCTTATATACACGCATTTTGTTTTTTATTAGGGCTGCACGAATGCATCATTTTTGCAGGATGTGCGATGTAGTACAGGGTTCGTAGATTTTCCGTAATCCGTACGGGCCACCTGCCATCCGGTTCTGAACGCATGTGATGCGCAGAGTAATTGCAAAGTTGAAAAATCATAGAGTGACATCATTTGCATGTGTTTAAGTCCTGTCTGTTTAAACATCAAGTGCAAGAAGAAAGGAACTCGTAGAATGAAAAACATTTTTGTGTGCACACACAAAGCCACGCAAACAGCATGTAAAGTTAGTGAGCACCAAATTCCCTTCCCTTTCTTATCGATTTGTGCTTGAACGGACATGTGCACGGAAAATTAAGTCAAAATGCCCGTCTCGACGAGTTTCCTCATAAACAGTCGGTTTTGAATTTTAAACAGAGAAAGAAAACGGATGCTTGTCATTACCGATATTGGATAGTGCATTCATCTTAAAGTGACAGCAGCCCAATATACCCGCAACTGTTTGTGTCACCAAAGTTCATCAGACAACAAAAGAGATAGAGAAAATCACTTTTGTAGCATTAACAAAGATAAACTGTATTAATTATCAATGTTTGTACCTGAATAGTTAATTTAACTGAAAAACACAAAGCACTGCTCATTTAATCTGTGTCTTTGTTCTATTGTATTCATCTAGGCTTGTAATTTGTATATTATTTTCTATGCAGATGCACTACCCTACAAAATTACTCCAATCATCCTAGAATGATTCATTATTAAAATCATGGTGAAATGCATTGCATGATATATATTGCATTATATTTCACAATGTCAGTTTTTTTCCAATATCGTGCAGCCCTAGTTTTTATGTTTTTTTTATGCATTTGTTTTATACATTCAGTTACCCATTCAACCAGCCAATTATAAAATCACACAACCATCACCACAATGTTAATTGTTTTAGAGTTGTGTTCCACTTATCCTCACATTTCTGGCTGGGGTACGCACCATGGGCGGTGCAGGCGTGGGCATGATGGCGTGGGGGAAAGGGGTGAAGGTGTGCTGGTGTGTGTGTTGGTGTGTGTGCTGGTGCTGATGCTGATGCTGGTGCTGGTGCTGGTGGAACTCAGTCCTCAGGTATGGAGGGGGACCCAGTGATGCCCCGCGATCAGCACTCTGAGACGCCAAGAAACGAGTATTTAATTCCTGCCGGAGAATGTCTTGTTCTGTGAGAAGAAAGAGGTAAGGAAACAAAAATTAACATTAAGTTTTAAAAACACACATCTAAATTGGAACTTAACCAGAACCCCTTTTCAAAAGTGTTTATCTGAATGCAGAACAAACATTCAGATAAACGAACGTGCTGGAAATAATAGATTTTTATGTATACATATATATATATATATACACACACACTTTATATTATGTATTAAAGGACGCTAGATGACAGATTGGTACCTGAGTAGGCACTCCCAGCTGGGTGTCCGGGGACAGGCAGAGTGTTTGAGGTAAGAGGAGGAGGTGGAGGCAGAGCAGCAGGCGACGCAAACATATTGGTGTGATGAGGAAGAGTGGATGATGGCAGGGAGGGGGGGAAGGCGTGCGAAGCTGTAGGGTTCGCTGGCAGGGGGAAGGTCGCTGCTGCCCCAGTGGGGGCAGGTTGGTGATGATGCAGATGAGGGGCTGGAGAGGGGCCCGGGGGCTTCCCTGGAGTGCTGCTTCGACTACTGTGAATAAAAGAGAAAATAAACATCTGTAAATATGTGCCTGTATAAAAGACCTTTCCAAACAATGATCACAAAACTGCTACAAATCTATCAAAAGAAACCTGGAAAATGTGCATTCAGTGCTGAATAATATTATTCCAGGAGAGATTTTCTCGCTACACAAGCTAAGGTATTTATCGAGCTGTACGCAATCTATCAAAGAGCTAATTTACAGGCTAAGTAATCATTTAAACACAAATTATTTCATATTAAAAGCTGCACACAGACACAGAGAAACACAAGGTATAATTATCATCAGCAGTCTAAAGAAATCTAAAGGTCGGCAGAGAAGGGCGAGAGGAGGGAGGAGAAGATCTGCTTCTCTGCTGGATACTGGGGTGTCTGAGTCAAGCAGAGAAATTGTTATCTACAAGCCGCCGCCAGCTACAAGGCAGCAGCAGCATCTATGTGGGAGGGGAACGAATGAACCCGTCTAATCTCTCAGCTGGGGTTCTCTCTGTGGTGCTGTCAGGCTCACGCACACTCACACACAAACACATACAGACAGGGATTTGTGCCTCATGTTTACTGGAGGATTGATACATTTTACATTCTAATACAGGGATCATGCTGTTCCGCTACAGTATTTAAGAGCGGTGGGCTCAGAGCATCTGCTCATTCAGTATACAGCACATCTGGAGTATAATAGAAAGTTCTTGCTAATATTTAACTCCATTACACTCATTTGTTGCCCACTCACCTCAGGCCGTTAAGGGTAAGGCTGCCACTGTAGGCTGAAATGGGGCGCGGGTGGCACCGTGAGGGTGGTCTGTGCTGCACAGGTAAGGTGGGGTTCTGCTGGGCTGGTTGCACTGGTGATGGGGGGTGGTGGTAGATGCCTGGGGTTCGAGGTGGCCTTGCGTTAGATGGAGGCTCAGATGGGTCCCGAGGCTGGGGCAGGGGTGCCTGAGTGGGCTTGTGGTTCTGGGTTGGAGGCAGAGCAGTAGCTGGTGTGAGAGTTCTAAGTGGGCGCTCTGGACAAGGGTGCTGGGTTTGAGCTGGACTAGGGGGCAAGGGTAACCCCCTGTTGGAGGGAGGTGGCTGGAGATGAAGAGGGGTGGGGAGGGGAGGTTTGGAATGGGAAGTGGGCACCAGTGAGGGGGTGGCCGGGGAGAGTTCGCGGGAAGTCTCCTGGCTCTTTTCTTGACTGCGCTCTAGGCCTGACACCTTGGTAATGGCCAGGCCACGCAGCTCCTGGCTGGCATTGGTGGAGAGCGTGTCAATGCTAAAATCTGGAACTGAAGAGACAAGAGAAGAAGATTTTGTATCAATGCTAAAACCTGGAACTGAAAAGACAAGAGAAACCACACATGCAAACATATTTTGGAGGTTAAGGTCTATCATTTGATTTAACAAAATCAGATTTGAACTAAATGGTAAATAAATTTATAAAATGGATGGAAAAGGAAGACTTATGGCACAGAAAATGGTTTCAATTTACTTTCAGAGGCAGGTCTTTGTTGCGTTCACCGTTAATACATTAAGTTAATAAAAAGTTTTTGCAAAATAAATATGTAAATCTGCAAAAGTCACTAGATTACAGTACGTCACTTCTCAGACATTCCAATCCTGGGAATCCTGATTTAACATGTTCAGTCAGCGAAAACAAGTACAGAGCAATGCTAACAGATGCCACCAGGGGTAACACACCGATCTGACAAAACTAGACGAACATGTCTGTTGCCTTAGGGAAAGCACATAAACTAAGGAAAACCTGACCGGCAAGCCTAAAACTGCTTTTACAATGAGCTGATATTAGTGTTTTATTGTACATAAGTGAACTCCATGATTGAGAAAGGAAAAGAGAGCGACTGTCAACCAAAGGTTGATGTATCCTCTGGGACCAATATCTCTTGGGGATCACAGTGCATGCATGCATAACTCTGATTAACTCTCTGTCTGCCTCAGAGGGAACCACAGTCCTATCTCTTTTCCATCTCTTCACACCCAGCCTGGCTTCTCCATCGCCCGCAGCAAGGGATGCTGATTGAACCTGAATCCCAAAGGCTTTAGAATCCTTCTGGAACAGAACCCCTATGGAATGCTGAACCCTCCCTCAAGGGCCTGAGCTATTGCATTGGGGCCTCCCAATGCAATAGCTCATGGGAACCAGCTCAGAGCATAAGGTCCCTGGTGTGCAGCTGAGAGGTAGTATGTGTGATGCTGCTGCTGCAGACATTAAGGATCAGCCCAATAATCTGGGAGTACAAGGCGCCCCTGAGGAATGGGTTTGTGTCAAACATCTGCCATCTGACATGGTGGGAATGCAAGACACACATATGCACAAACACACACTGATGGCCAAGAGTTGACGGACCTGTCACTGTCCCGATCGTGCCAGTTCTGCATCGTTGTGAATGTTTATAGACTGCACATGTTTTTAAGCCATGCCAATGTAAACATTTAAGTGCAAGAAGACACAAAAGAGAGCTTAATTCGGTACTCACTGTGTGAGAAGTTTTGTGTGTGCACACATCCGAATGCGAATACTGAATCGATTTCTCTTTCACGCCGTCTTGCTGTAGAACAGACAAATTTTACAGAAAACTATGTCAACATGCTAGTCTTGGCGTGTGTCCTAGTAAACATAGTTGGTTATTAGGGCTGTCGCGGTTATGGAATTTCCCTTGCGGTAATGTTGAGTGGCTCAATAGCGCGATATGCGGTATTATTGCCATTTATTTATTTAATTTATATGTATTTGTTGCTATATAAATAAAGTTTACGATGTGGACAAAAACGAGGACATTTTCAGTAACTAATGTAACCGAAACTAAACAGTGTGTACAGTATATGCGCATTGGAAGACTTTCACTCATATTGTTATGACAACGGACTTTGAGCGAGTCATTGAACCGTTCATTCAACGAACACGTTTAAAAAATCTCATATGGTACATGAATACTGAATTGATTTCTCTTTCATGTCTTTTCATGCACTTGAACGGACAAATGCACAATTTTGTCAAAACACCCTTGTAAACTCTGTCGGTTATGTCTTACGTGAACGTAAACAATTGAGGAAGAAAAGTGACAGCAGCCTAATAAACCTGCTGCCATCTATGTCATTACTGTTAATCAAAGAACAAAAGAAAAAATAAATTCACTCATTGACTGAAAAAACTTTTGAAACATTAATAAGGATTAATCTATATTTTATTTATAAAAAGAAAACCATGTGTTATTTTACATTTGATTTAAAAATGTTTTAACTTTGTTCAATTGCTAATTTGCTCTTATTGTATTAATGACTGTATGTGCATTATCTTTAATAATGTTTGAAATTTATTATTTTAATTTATTAGTTAGTATTTTTTTAGGCTGCTGATTTTTGTTCTTGGTATTCAGCGATACCCAACCCTACAAAAGCATTTAAATGTGGTTGTCACTCCTGAAACTTTACAGTGTGTACGTGGCCATTGGCTACCTCATTTGACCAGGGAAAGCTCACAATACCCTCTGGCTCTGGCACTCTAAGCACACTTTAACAAAAAAGGGCAGTTCAGCCTCCCAGCTCAGAAACAAGCTGTCCAGTGGGTGCAATAAGTCACCCTTTATCCTGCCTGAATAACTGGATTTAAGGCAGAGAGGGCTAACAGCACTCAAAGAAAAGCCTTTCACACTTGTTTGTGTCAGAATGAGGGCTTTTATAAAAGAGTTTCCTTCAGATTATATAGTTCCAGTAGTCAGTCAACGACTGATATGCTCTCCTTACTAGACACAAAAGCGTGGGTGCCCATCTCTCTTGCTCTCTTTCCTGCACTGTGGCCTTCCAGTAGAGACTTGATGGAAAATATCCAAAGCTCTTCTAAAAGGCTGAACCACAGAGAGCTCTGCTGTTCCTCCCTGGAGCGACTCTCTCAATGTACTAACATGCCTAAAAAAAACAAGACGGAGAATGAAAACACTGCTTATTCTTCCCGTAATGAAGACTCCAGGGCCGGGCAGGGAGCGGAGGAGAAGTGTGTTTCTCCTCCCTGGGGAGTTAATTTGTCAAGTCTCCTTGATCCCTGGAAACAAATAAATGCAGCTTTTTCTAGCCTCGCCAAAAAAGAGTGAGGAGAGGTGATTTTTATTCCAAATGGCAGCTGTGGAGGAGGATGTTTATTAAGATGGTAGAACAGACCGGGAGGCAGACTTTGCAAAGTTCTCATCTGATCACACAATGTTTATGTATGTGTGTGTGTGTGTGTGTGTGTGTTTGAGCAGGATTAAGGTCTACAAGGCTTCTGGAGCAGTGAGCTTGGGTGAGGTCTCCACGGACAGCAAAACACAGCTCATTATCCCGAGTCCACTCTAAAAGAAAACAGCTATATTCAGCTGCTAAAAACCACAGACAGAGCCAGAAGATCTCATACACAACATGTTCAAAAGCAGGAAAACAATGGGAGAAATCACTACCTATTCAGAATTTATATGATGCAGTTAAATCTTTAATTTTTTTAAATTGAATAGCATAAAAAAACATTTAACTTGTAGGAAACATGTAGTCAAGCATTTTTCATGATTTGAGCATTTAGAAACAAAATTTATGAGACAGTTGACAGATTTCATAGGTGATATCAAACATGAAATTCAAAGAATTTAATGTTTTCCAATTTAAAGAAATAGGAGCTGCACTTGCATGACTGAGAGGCTATTCAAAGATGGCAGCCGAGTGAAATGACTTGTCTTAAAGGGACTTCAAATGGACTGTTAAGCACAGTCGAATACATAGACACCTGAATACATAGACGCATACCGCACCTGTGGTGTGTCTGGCTGGTGACTAGGGGTGTTGAAATTAATCATTGCATCTATAAGGCATCGCAATTCTGCATCAATGCAGTAATAGACCATTATAGCCTAATGACGTTTCTCTGAAATCCTTCGTCACATATGCGCTTCTCTTGCTAGTGTAAAATGCGAGGCGGGAAAAATGTGAAGAAAAAACAGTAAGAAGTATCATTACTTGCATCTTCACCTTGGTGAGAAAAAATCCCATACCGTCACAGCCCTATTCCTACAAAACACCCACACACACACCCACACCACCAGTTACTTTAAGTGACTTCTGTCTCTCTAAACAAGTTTGTGCTGTCATTTGTAAGTACTTATGGAAACTTACAGGGCCTCCCTGGGTGGTATGTGCCGATAGCCAATACTTTTGGCAAATGCCAGTCATGCTGTTAAGCTGGGCTTCAGGCATCTCACCACTTCTACATCTCTTCAAACCCGAAATAGCCCCACATACTCCTGTCAAGCTAGAGATGAGGTCTGGGGTTATGGGGCCTTCCTTCAGCACCCCCAGGCTTGAGTTAAACTCTTCCCTTCATTGTAACTGACAGCCCTGCACGTCTTCTCTGCCTGACGGCCGTTTTACTGTCAAATCAGCTGGGCTGAGACTTCAGCCTAGTGGTAACGGCTTAGAAATGGCTATTTGTGATCACTCTGAGCAGAAAAGAGGACGGGGGGCTTTACAGAAAGATGATGTAAGTACTTTAGAGGGTAGCTACAAAGCCACAGCTGAAACAATGCAGTAGCGACAAGCATTTGGCCTCATATCCTCAAGTTTTGGCTGCAACCACAACATAGATTAGCAACATAAACCAACTCACACCCAACAAAGACAACAAAAATGGGTCATTCACTAATTCACAATTACAAATAATCAGATATTAAAGATAGGGATGGGGATTTTCGGGCTCATAAAAATTTAATATTCGTTTTTTTTTTAAATAATGTTATTTATTTTATTAAAAATGTATTATTATTTATTTAATTTATTTGTTATTTATTATTTAAAATCAATTTTTAATAGGTTTTTGTCTATCTACAAGCTTACAATTAGGCAATATACACAACAAGCATTAAACAATAGGTGTAAACAAAACATATAAAGAACAAAAGAATTTAAGCTCAAGCAGCACAAATATAGACACGAGTCAGCATATCATTATCGTGTTTATATTGTTTAACGTTTATGTTGATAAAAACAATAATATCTTATCCACACGGTTGAGTGAGAAAACGCGCAGCGCCGAAAGACGTTGCAAATAAGACACATAGGCTAAAGTTAATGCCCTGGGGTCGACAAACTTTCACATAGCGGCATAATATCAACATGAATATACTGTATGCCTACAGAGAGCGTGCACTATGGACATCAACTCGACAAAACTCCTCAGATGCCGATCACGATGCAGGAGTCAAGACCGCAGTTTGAGCCAGCGGCTTGAATTGATATGGCCCTGCGTCCA